TCATAAATTTATTGACAAATTTTCTGGATATAAAATATTTATATTCAATTAAGCATTGCATTGATCAGTTGTCTTATACATTTTCATGGCCTGAGGTCCAAAAGTTCCAAATTTGTGATCTCTAATTAATTTTTATAATAAAATTTAGTTATGCTATTAAAATGAAAATTAAAAAATGATAATTAAGTTACAAGAACTCTTTAGTATTAGGTTAATCATCTAAATATTTGTAGTAGAGAGGGTAGAAATTATATAAATCTGATGCTTCAGAACAACCATATTTATCTCCATAAATTTTGATCCAGTCTTCTTAGGTAGAAAAGTAACCAATTTTTTTATTAGAAGCGACTTTTAAATAGTTAGCAATATCTTATGTTCTTTGGCAATTGAAATTGATATCATTAGTCCATTTACATTTTTCGTCATCATTAGCTGAAATTTTAATCCAAATAATTTAGTAATTGATATCCGAAGTGGCAGCCAAGAATTTGTTTACTTAATCACTAACTCTGCATTCTGGATGGGCATCAGTATCTTTATTAATGCATGGGATGTACATAAGATGAGTTTCAAAGCCAGCTTCCTCAGCAAATTTAGCTTAATTATAAACTTGAGGATTAATACCATTAATATCTCTACCAGTAATAACTTGGAAAGTATAATTAGTAGTTGACTTTAAGCATTAATATACATCTTTTATAAGTGGTTAATTTGGAGTAAATCCTAAGAAAGTTTGTTGATCATCCTTATTGAATCTGGCTTCGGTTGCCAGCAATAGAGAAAGGACTACCAAAGTTAGTAAGATTATTTTGTTCATTATTAATATTCTAATTAAATTTTGATTAATTATTTGATTAATAATTTAGATTTTGCCTTAGACTAATTAAATAAAAGATGTTTATAAAAAATAAATTGATCTAAATTTCTTTTATGTGATTATCTCATAGACTAAAAATGATCACTAATTAGTTGTTCCTAATTTATGTATTTTATAATCAATAAATTTTTTTTTAAAATAATCAAAAAATTGATAAGTAAAAAAAGAATCAAAAATGTTTTAACTGCTCATACTAAACTTTCTCATTTTAAAATTAAAATCATAAAATCATAGTTAAAAGTGATTTCTTATTGGTATATCTTTAAGATTACTTAATTTACAAACATATTTTTCTAATGTTTTTCTAAAATTGTAAGAAATAAATTAATCAAAGATTTTTGTATCAGAAATTTTCTGTTTTATCAAAAAAATATAATTATGATTTTAAAGAATGTCTAATTCTGATAGAAGAAAATTAATTATATCTCACTTCATTAGTTAGAAATTTTTTTATAAAAAGACATCTCACTCATCTTTCAAATTATAAAAAATAACAAAAAAATTTAAAATACCCTTTTCAAAAATCTTCTTTTAAATTTTGTTTATCTGCTTGATTATTTAATTATATCCCAAAATCTTTATCCACAATAAATTTTAAATACTATTATTTGGTTAAAATAAACTACAAATTAATAATTTAGATGTTACTATTTTTATTTGTTGATAAGTTATTTCTTACATCTCACATTGCTTTCAAATTTTATTTTAGAAATACAACAAAAGATAAAAAATCTTCTTTTAAAAAATCATCATTTAGTTTTGCTTATTTAATTGATTATTTAATTAAATTAGAGATTTAAAATATTTTAAAAAACTCAAATATATAAATATAAATTTTTTCTTATAAATCTAAAAAATCCCATTTATATTTTCTAAAGTTAATATATGTTTTTATATAATTTGATACTCAGATATAAGATTAAAATATAGTTAAAATGGTATATATTTCGCATATTGAAGCTAGAGTATAATCCTTCATGTAGGGTTGCTTCCACTAACCGAAACTTTACTAAGGCCTTTTGATTTAAATATTTTAAATTATGTTTAAAGAAGATAAAGTTAAAAAAATATTAAAGTTTGATATTATTACCAATCGTTAAAATTAGGAACTGAGTCAAGATGTATGTATCTGAGAGGTAGATCAGTAAATTCGGCACAACTCTCAGAAGTACTGAAAATGTTAACCCAATCAATTTTTGAAGAGCGGATAGATACTTTATTTTTAGAATAACTCTTTAGTAGGTTAACAAACCTATTTAATAAGTCGCAGTTTTATTCAACATAAATTGACCACTAGTTTTTAATTATAATAATTAATGTAAACCATATATAGACAAAATATATCAAAAACTGGTAGCACCAAAAGATTTTTAATAATTTGGGTTCACTCAAATAGAAAACAAATTATAAAGTAATTTTAATTTTTTTATTATTAACAATTTTATGGATAAAATTAAATTAATAACTACATATTTAGAAATTAAAAATTTTTTTAATTGTTTAGGTATATTCATTCTTAAGGTAGCAATAATTTAATTTCCTGATCACAAAATTTCAAAATCACATCAGCAATCATAATCTTTAACCTGAATCTAGTAGACGATTCTAATAAATAAATAAAAAATGTTAATGCCAAAAAAACAATGCAAAGATATCATATCTATAATGATAGAACACCTATCTTATAATGAAAGAGAAACCCTCTAAAATAAAATTCAGTATATTTTAACTTCTGGTTAGATGATAAAGATAATATATAACAATTTATATTCAATTAAAAATAACAAGAGAACAAATAAAAAAGATTCTTTAATCCCATATATCGTATTTTACAAATGAATTAAAACCAAAACTATTTGTACATATAAATTGACTTATATCTTTGATTGTATTTGATTTTACATAAAATTTACAAAAAATTATATTTTATAAAATAATGAAAAAAGAGGAACAAAATCTTGAAAACTTTTTATTAACAAAATTATTATCTAAATAAAAAAAAATGATGGAACTTTAGTATTAACTATTAAAAAAATAAATAACTAATTAAATAAACAAAAAAGTATTAAATTATGAACAAAAAACTATAAAAATATTTAAATGTAGAAGCAAACAACAAATAAATATATAAAGTTCTCAAATAAATTAGACTTAAGAGCTTTTTTTAGATATTTAATATTAATTTTTTATTTGATTTTCAGTAGTCTCTAAGAATTAAGCTTAATTGGGAGATTAATCATTCAAGTAAATATCTTAATTTTTATTTGTTATATATTTGAGTATAATGTTACTATATGAAGAAATAATAGGCTTATTTGGCGAATCAAGTTAATAACTATCTTCTTCAGATTAGTAATTTTATCTTTTAACTTTTTTTAGAATTTTCTTGCATTTTTTTTAATCACTTGATAAAGAAATCCTATCTCTTAATTATAAATTCTATTCATTTAGTTATTCTAGATTCAATATAGGTGAACATTCTCTAGTTCTTTGAGATAAAAGAAGTAGTTATGATTTGTTATCTTTTAAGCTATTATTTTTTTTAAGATTTGATTTATTTGAATCTTAAAATTTAATTTTTGGTGAAAAGTTGCTTAAAGTAGGATTTTAAAATATATTTTTTTTTTAGATAATAAAAGAGTCCTATTTTTACAACTATGAATTTCCTTATTAAATTATTAAATATTTTTTAAAAATATTTTTAAAAATAAAAGCTTACTTGAATATTAAGAGAGACTCTTCTTAAGCATTTATTTCTTCATGCTTTCTTATTTATATAATGCGATTTTAAAGTTAGTTGCAGCCTTCATTTACACAATTTTATTTATATTTTTTTTAATTAATATCCACCTAAAGTAAGTCTTAATTGACACTCTTTTATCATTTAATATAACTTTATGATATTTTTTAGGAATTACTATTATAATAATTTTTTTGAAGATTTTTCCCAAAATAGAGTTTTAATTTTTTGATTTTTCTATGAAAATTATGCAAATGAAATAAAGGACAAATACTATATTAATAAGAATATCTGCTATTTGAAATATGGTGTTAAATATAAAGTTATCTAAATTAATGTTATTTATTACTAATTTTACCATAATTAATGCGCATGATGTTATTTCATTGAAGCTAAGTCTTTTTGTAATGTAAGGATTATATTTGATAATAAGCATTATATACAAAGCAAAAGTCAATAAAATTATATTTATTGAAAGATCTCTTTGAATTTATCCAATTAATGTGTACACTAAAGTTACAATAATTCTTAAATAGATTCTTATAAAATCCCAATAGTAATATTATACCATAAATTCATTATAATAATACCCAAAAAGATATCTTGTGATGCATGTATCGATAGTTTGGTATTTTTTTCTAAAAAAGTAAAATATTAAAAGCGGTATTGTAGAGTATATTGCCAAATTTATTGAACAAATTGCAATCAAATAGATTCTAGTTTCATCGTTTGAGCATAAAATATTCTAGTCTAAATAAAGATATGATTAGCTTCCTACTTGAACACAATTAATTGCTGATGAAAAAAATTAAATTTAATCTATAACAAAGAATTAAAACAAAATATGAAACAGAGTTGCCAATTGATAATAGAACATCCTAGATTAATAATAGGAAGAGCTTCTTTAAAAAATCAAAATCAAAACTACCAGAAAGCCAAAAAAAATTGGAGTCAGAGAATGGACAAATGTTGTTATTAAAACTTTTCCGTACATTTGGTATATTTTTTTTCCAAAAATACAGCTCAAACCTACAGTAAGATAGTAACTTGATGAACCCATTAAAGTCATAGGAAGTTATACCTTTACAGATATAGAATTCTATTATTAAATTAGAATAGAAGAAAATTGTATATAAGTCACTATTATCTTTATATAAAATCCAGAGGCATCTTGAATAGAATTTGTTAATATTGGCAAAATATTAAGTTTTCGAAGGTAGAAGCATGTCTATGAATATTTGCAGTTTACGAAAAAGGTGTTTTCACTCATAAAAAAATATAATAGTAGGCACAATACATTAAAGGCTAAAAATAAGTAAGAAAAAATAACATTAGAACATTCAGAACAAACACCTTTTAAAATTGAGGGAGCATACATATGGCCTTTTTTATTCCATATCTTTGATTATAAATCGCATTCGCTACATAATGCACCAACATAACCTTCTGCACATCCTTCAATACTACTGCTGCTTTCTTCAGGTAAACAAAAATTCATAACTTAGTTACATTAAATTATTTCATCAGTTGTTTAATTTGGTCTCCAATATCCATTTTTTAGTTTAATTTAATTTCCCTCACAAAACAAAGCTGATGAGGGACATAATTTACACTGATTACTCAAATACTACTAAGTATTATTGTTTTATGTTTAATTTAAATTTGAAGAAGGAATTGATTGAGGCTTTTCAAAAGAATATGTCCCTAAAGTACAATATTAACATACTTTAATACTGCTTGTAATAGATTAAACAATCTCACCTAAAATACATGGTCTGAAATTAATTACCATAAGGTAAGGATAAAAGTTGCTATAGATATTCTCCATTGATGTAGATATTTTGAAATTAAATTAAGATTCAATTGAGGCAGATATAGTTAAATCAGTTAGAATAAAGCTGGAAGTCTCTTCGTCATATAGAAGGTAATTTACTTATTTATCACCTATCAACTATGTATTTGTACTTGAAATGCTTTCTATATTAATCTATAATTCCATCAATTCTTTTTAAATTCTAGTGGGATACTTATTTTATCTTAGGAGATCTTTTGAAAAGTTTATTTTTCTTTTATAATTATCTAAGAAATAAATTTAAAGTTAAATTTTACCTCCACTCATAAAATTTTCAATTTAAATTACTCCGGAGTAATTAGAATTTAATTATGTTTACTATATGTTTTCAAATTAGAAAGTATAGTTCTTATTTTAATCTGAATTAGATAAACTTTTATATTTATTTATAAGTATTGATTAAATATTATAAGTAGAATCGTCACCATATATTTCTGCTTTATTACTACAAACATTTTATTTGAAAGGAAATCCTGTTGGTAATTAATAATCTAATTAGCTACTTAAGATCCTCAAACCTCCACCAATTTTTGCAGCATTTGAAATTATCTTCGTTTTATTATCAAAAATTATCAAACAATTTTAATTTAATTCTTCAAAGAGCAATGATCCTCCGCTTCCTTGAGCTATATTTTATCTAAATGTAGAATTTTGAATTTTAATATAATTTGTTATGCCATAAAAGTAAATAGCTCCACCATCTAACGCTCTATTATCATAAAAGGTACTGTTGTTAATCTCACACTTTTAAGAACCGTAAGCTAAACAATTTCCTTTATTTTAAGAAAAATCCATGTCTTTAATGTATACGTTCGACGATTATATTTAAATTATAGAAGCCATTTAAGGTTAACTATTCTTTTAGACTTATAAATTATCAATATTAAAAACGTCATTAAGTAACTTAATTATATTATTATCTTATTATATTTGATTTGAAACTTTAAGTATTACTCCTCCTATATTTTTCTTAAAAGAACTGTTTTTTAGTAATAAATTGTTACATCCATAGAATTGCATTAAAATATTTTTTTCATAACTGCTATCTTACTATTAAATGACATCAGTCATATCAATAACAGATGAAGGATTAACATTTAAATTAATAGTTAGCAAGTCTATTGTTAATTAATTTATTTACTTAAAAATAAATATAGGTGAGGCAGAAGGGAATTTATTTTCTTAGATATTTAATTAATAAATTATTACTGAATTTACATTAACTATTTAAAATAGACTAAATAAGTTTGTATCATTAAAGGTGTTATTTATTATTTTCATATTAAAAATTATTAAAGTATCTACATTTTCTATTAAGAGATATGTATAGCTATTTTAATTATTTGTTTGATTTTTACTGCTTGTATCCTAAAAAGTGCAATTTTAAATAATTAAATTAGAGAATATGACTTATTATTAATTTTAGAAAATAATTGTAGATTAGAATATAGTCTAATCTTAGATATAAATTGTTTCTAAAGTAGAAAATTGAATTTATTGATCAAATGTAATATTAATTGCTTAATTTGAAGTTTGAATTACTTACAAGTTAAAATTTTCTATTTGAAAATACTACTTTTCTAACTAAATTTAGACACTTTAGTCAAAAATTAAGTTGTTTAAACTATTATTAGATGGTAAAAAAAGAATATTGCTTATTTGTGTCAATTAAGATATTTAATTACTTAATTCTAATAGCTAAGTTCCTAAAATACTTAAAAATACAAATGTTTATGTATTCAGCATATTTTAAACAGTCCTACCAGTAATTCCTACAACTTATTAGGTTATAGGACTCATCGAATTAATCTAATTAAATATAGACTAAAAGTTATTATCGCTTTGAGTAGAGATGTAACATTAATCTGCGAAATTATTCACTTATAAACTCGATTAATAGTAACTCTAAACTTTATATTAATATAAGTTTGTATTATAAGTATATTGAAAAGCACCATTTTAATGTAAACCATAAAAATAGATAAACTACCCATTATAATAGGACTTCATAAGATTAGGATACTCAAATTTTATTAATCAATCATGAAGTTATTCTAACCAATTATGGCAAATACTTCAAATTTATGCTCAAAAAGTAAGATAATATAAGTATCCTTCTCAATATACCACTAAATAATTTGATTCGTTATAATATATTTTTATATTGACGTCTAAAACAAACTGGGTCTTGATCTTGAGTAAAAGTTTAATTATGATGAAGATGCTGTAATAATAAATTATGAAGAAATCATAATATTGTTTGAGTGAGTGTTTGGGATACCAATTGTTTATTCTAGTTTCTAATGTTGAAAATCCCATATGTAAACTTTAAAATCACCAATAAAGTTAAATATTATTCTCTGATATTAATTATCATATTAAATATTTATTAAGTTTAGATCGTCTTCCAATTTTAGTTATTTATTCAAGTTTAATTCACTTGCTATTTAATTTTTTGAATGATTTATTACTAAAAACTATCCACCAAGAGTAGCAAAGTAGCACTCTTAGGAACTAATAATACCAATAAATTTAACATTAGTGAAAGTTTTATTTAGTTGCTGAAATTTATAACTTTAAACTTATTTAGTGTCTACGAAATATACAAACATTGACAAGTCATTTAGCCCAAGGTATAATATTTTATTTTATTAATCAAATAAAAATGAATTAATATACTAATCTAATTATATTTATATTGTATTTACTATTTATCCAGATTTGATATCAATATGAATTATTTTTTTATCAAATGTTTAATAAATATAATTGGCTAGAAATCTTTAAAATTTTAAATCTAATGAAATTTAGTTAGATTTTATACTATTTCTATTATTTTATTCATAATTATAAAAAAGAAAAACTTTATTCACAAAAGCTATTACCAAAACATCATTTTCAATATCATATCTGATATCCTTTAATTATTATTCGTTAAAAAAAAATAATTCAGGAGTTATATATTACTCTTAGTATCTAAAAATAGTATTTTAATCACCAATCACTAAGAATTGTGAATAAATATTTGAGTCGCTTAGTAATTTTATTTCAGTAAAAAGGCTACTTTATTAATTTAACTAAATTTAAAACTTATATCCTAGATTGCTTACATTTATTAAGTAAACATTTGTTTAAGTATAAACAAATACATAGCTTGACTGGTTATCATACGTTAAACCAATTAATTATTAATTATAATCTACTATTTCAGTAATAACAATACCATCTACAAGCTAATAAGGTTAAAATATAAAATTTAGAGTTAGTTCTCCTGCTTAATCCAAATATAATAAAGAACTTAACTCTAAAAAATATACCATATCTATTACTGCATACTGGTTTCCACTAATACCTGAACATTTATTTGTTTGATCAGCTTAAATATCATAAATATATATTTAACTGAATGCAGAAGAACTACAAAAGTAAGCAATTTATTAATTTAAATTTATGTATGTATATTTAACGATCTCTATACGAGCTGGAGATAGTATTTAAGTCTATGTCAAACTATTTCTATTTATTATTTTTCCTACTGTTATATTAAATAAATAAATATTGTATTTTTAAAATAATTTATTTTAAGTTTTTCAAATCTAAACTATATTGAATATTTTTTTAAATTCTCTTCGTTTTTGCTGAAACAAACTGAGAATTTATGCTGGAGTTATTATAGTAAATTAAAACTAATTACTCAATAAAAAATAATGTTGATTTTTTAGCTTATTAAAAAATTTTAAAAAAAATAAAACTTAAATTAATAGTTGGAAGTATTAATTCTATCATTAATAACCTAATAAGTACTAAAATATGAGTTTCTTATTTTACATATAAATAACTAAAATTTTAATAAATTTACTTAAACTTGAAAAGATGATATAGTATTGATCATGTATACCATATTAAGCTATTGTTCCTTAAAAACTACCAAGATTATTTAATATTTCACCATTAAAATTATATATCAAGCATATTTCGTTAAATAAAATTATTCTTTAATACTACTCATCTATAAGGAGATAGATGTTATTTTAAAAGCCTATAATTTAAATGGTATGATACTAATAAAAATTAATTTTATTAATTAAAATGAGATATTTTTAAGAATTAATACAAATTAGCATATTTTAGGTTTGTTAGCAATTCTGGATTTGTGTAGTATCCTACTAATATAAGATTACTGTAAGCTATTATAACTTAGAATTTAACTCCAAAATTTTATCTCCATAGACATAGATTGAATTACTTTTAGTATCATATACGTATCCATTTATATTAAAATCAGATACAAACTCCAATTTTTAATTTGATAGAAAAAAACTTCTTAATAAAATTTGTTTATTGTTAAAGCAGATTATTGAATATGTTTTTTCAATAAAATCACATTTAGCAAATGGTTAAACTTAATCCTGAAACTTAAGTATTTCTAAAAATTGATTGGTGTAGATATCGTAAATTGAAACTTACTAATTCGTCCGTATTAGATATACTCCAATATAAATACTTGATTTAAGTTCGACTATCAAATCAGATGAATCTTTAAAAGATTGTTTTATGTTTAAGGTATCATAATTTGTTATTGATTAGCTTTTAGATACCAAAGCTCCACTTATTGTTCCAGAATATGAAATAGAATTCTGAGATGAACCTCTTTCAAATTTTAAGCGGATTGTTTCATTGTCAATTACTATGTATTATAATCTGGTGAATAAAATGTTCATTTTATTTAAATTAATTGCCCTTTAAAAGTAAACAGTAAGGTAATTCAATTATTATATATTTTCATAATATTAATATACATCTCCGTTTTAATTAACTTTAACAAATGTGTCTCCCAAAAATGGAGAATTTGTAAAACATGGTTATAATATAGGTTCTGATTGCCCCATAACAAGAATGTATATCACTGATATTGGAGGATTTTGAGTATTATAGCCTGCTACATAATATAAGTATTTATTATCAGTACTAATTATTTACTATATTGTACTAAGTATCACATTTTCAAATACAAATACGACTTTCAATTCATTGGTAAGTAGATAAATATTTTAATTTTTATCAAAAATTAATAATTTATCAATGCCAAAATAGTTATACTGTTCATTATATTAGTTTGATAAAAGTTTAAAATAAGTAAAATATAGAATTTCAGAATTTTTTAGGTTATAATAAAAACTTATATTTTCATACTATTATTGATTGGTGTTAAATGTATAGTAAATTATTTATGAGTTTTGTTAAATGTAAAGATCTAAATTCGAAAGAAATATAATAGATTAGTATTAATTTAGAAAAGATTACTCACATTTCTTGAAAATTTAGCTTAATTAACCATTTAATATTGTTATGCATTAGTCTTATATTATAATAAGCTTATCATTATTATTTTGAATAAATATGTTTTTATTGTTAGAAGTATCTATTTAATTTATAATAGTCCAATCTAATCCTGAATAGAAAAGTATTCTATCAGACATACGGACAACAATTTATTAATCTAAAAAAGTAAACATATCTATACACGAAGAATTAGGATTATTTATTTTAAGAAATATTTCAGAGAATTAACCTGAAGAAATGTCATAAAAAACGATGTCTCCGTTTATGTGACAAGTAATTAATTACATAAATTAATATAAAATAGCAATCTTTACTGTTTGCGCTGTAGCAAACGGAAGATTCTTTTTGTAGTTTGCTATTAAATTTGAATTATATTATTATTTAGAATTATCAAATTCTAATATTTGAATTGAGAGTCCAAGTAGAGCTATTTTTTAATTATCAATAAGTATTTAGTTATTATCATTTTATTATTAATTTAATAAAGTTATTTTTTGCAAATTTTATTAGATTAATAGTTATGTAGAAACTATTTAAAATTGTTATTATTCATTACTGTATTGATAAATTATTAAAGTACTATTACTATATAGTACTAATACATTTATAATGGTAGCGTTAATATTAATTATTTCAAAATCATTCACTTATTACATTTGATCACCTATCTAAACGTTTTTTGCTAAATCGTATAAAGCTAAGCTTGCTTTACCTTAAATTAGGATTTATTGATTGTTTTCATCTAATGGTCTAATCTTGACAATTTCACTTAAATTGATTAGATTTTAAATATTATTATATGTTTGTTAGATCTTATCAATCAAAAATAATTTATCTTAAAAGACAAATACATAATTGTTATGTAATTATATCAAATCAATATATGGTAATGTAGAACTCTTTTGAATTTAAATGTTTAATAAAAACTTAATATTTATTTTAGGTGGGTAGTTAGTTATTAATTCAGTTAAATATATTTAAATTTGATCATTAGTTAGAATAATAATTAAGTCAGATTTATAAGTAAAAAAGGTGATCTTTTTATTTATCATTATTTAAAGTTCTTAATAAATTGTTCCAGAAATTTAATCGAATATAGCTCCTTTTATTGATAAATCAATAACTGATTACTATAGAATCAATGCAAAACTTTGATTTTTACTCATTTAAAAAAGACTTGACTAACTACTAATTTGAAGTTTAGTAGAATTTAGTAGCTAATACCTATAATTATTAATTAAATCCCATACTTGATAAGAATTATCTTGGCTTTACGCAATAACTATATTATTTAGATGAAAGACACCTAAATCTCCATTTTAAAATTGGATATGTTGATACAATTACAGATTTTATTTCCAGAAAACTGATATATATCCATCATAAAACACTGCATAATAATTATCCTAATATGCAATCATGTCAAGTGGCTTCAAATTATCTATAATATTTTGAAGGCTTTAATAAGAAAATGAACACTTCTCAATTTGAATGCAAATATTCTGCTATTTATTTGTTATGTAAGAAGGATTACAAATAGATTAACATTATCCTTGATTATAGCCTTAAGAGGGTTAAAAGTAGAAGTTCTGCATACACCCTTAGTATATGCATATTCCTAACTAAGAATCTAATCTGTACTTATCGTAGCACTAGATGCATGTATTTTGTTAGCAGATTTTGCAACCATATCCACAATCTAAAACTAAAATAGAGTATTTAACTAGCTATAATAATAATATTGCTAAATAAATTTGATTGCTTTTCATTTTATTTCTACTGAATTAATTTTAAACTTCCTAAAACCTAAAAATTTTTTCTTCTCTTTTTGTTTTGAAATAATTAAAATTCTTTGTAAATTTTTGTTCATATAAAAGATTATTTAATTACTTGAATGAAATTTACAACAAATAATTATTAAAGAGTCATTTAATTTCCTTTTTCTCATTTCACTAAATTACTTTAACAAGTAAAAAAGCATAATCAATCGTTGATACAATAATTTACTAATAATAAATAAATAAAAAAGCTATTTTTGGAAGAAGATTGCAAATCGTAAAAAAATAAATGTTAGAAATTAAATTTGATATATTAATTATTAATATTAATATTTATTTATTTACTGTACAAATCGGATTGTTTTTATTAAAAATTAGATTGAATATATATGACATATATTGTTGGCTCTATTTGCTTTCCCCCGACAATATTCTTTAATAAAAAGAGGATTAAAACTCTACGAGGTTTTACATTATACTTTCAGTTTAATAAGACTGATATTAAGCTATTTTTGGAACAGATAAAATATTCCTATTTTTTTAATGAAAATAAATATTTTAAATTCATTATAAATTATTTTTTATTAAATTATATTTCTTTTATTTATGATTACTATTTTAAATTTCATCAAAATTAAAAAATAATATTAATGTTTATTTAGTTTATTGCAATAAAATAACGAAAGCTATTAAAAATGTATAACAAATAACATATATTAATCAGTAAATGAAATCAGAAATAGTTATAATATTCAATTAAATAAATCTTAATAAAGATAGTAAATATTAGTTTTAAAGTTTTTATAAATAAAATCTAATTTAAAAAAAGGTATTTTTCTATAAATTACTAATTATTAAATTATTTTAATTAGATAATAACTATATAAGTATTCAAATTAGCTCTGTTTTAGTAAAATTTAAGTAAATCAAATAAAAAATTTGAAGTTTTAGATTTAGAGCATGTAAATTTTATTGAAAACTCCTTTAAAATCAGATTTCATATTAATTAATGCGAAATGTTATTACCAAAATTTTATTTGTTTTAGTCATTAAAGTAGAAGTTTTATTTTTAATCATGATGTAATTATAATGATTGAAAATTATATTATATGTTATAATGGTTTTGAACTATATTTATGATGCATTAGAATTTAATTATCTAATAAATAGGTTTTACAATTTTGGAATAAATCCTAAAATATGCTACTTATTCTCACACTTAAACTTTATTTTGTGAACCTCATTAAATATGCTATATTTTTTATCTTTTAATTCCTCTAAAATTTTTTGTTCTAATTGTTAATAGATAGAAACAAAAATTTGATCTATTGCTTTCATCAAAAAGTAATTATTAAAAATCAAAGATTGAAAAGGCATCAAAGGTTCTTTAAGCAAATTATTTTTAAATATTTAAAATTCTAAAAGAAAATAGTATTAAGTTTTCAAATAATAATTAATATAATTATTTATACTTTTGTTTAGAAAAATATTTAAGATTATTTTTATCTATTTAATAATAAAAAAAATTGATTTGCTTTAATAACAGATGTTTATTTGAAAAACTTCTTTGATATTATGAAAGTTTTAATAACAATTTAAAAATGATATAAATTTTAGGAATACCAAATATTTATTTTACTAATTTGAATGAAAATAATTTCATTTAGAATATTTACATCTAAATAAATATTAAAAACATTTTTAAAACTTTTTTTAAGAAAAAGATATTTAAATCGAAAATAAATATTAAAATATTCTTTTAAAAAATTTTTTTGTTTTTCAATTAAAACCAACAAATCAAATTATAAATTAATTTTATTTGAATATTTTTTAAATTAAATAAGTTGATAAAGATTACAAAATGCCAAACAAAATATTTAATTATTTAGATTTATTTGTAAATGTGCTTTGTATTTGATAAATAAGAAAGATAAATATAAATATATATAAATGGTGAATGATAAAAACATGCAAATCCTTATTAACTAATAATGTAGTAATAAAATTCAACAATTTGGGTCAGGTTATTTATTCAGCACTTGATCCAGGAATTAGATAATAATTTAGAGGGAATAATAGTTAAGTGATCATAAATATTGAGATTACAACATAAGTAATGAATGCAAAAAATAAAATAAAGAATGGAAAAAATTATTAATTTATTCAATAATATTATCTGAATAGCGTATTTGTGAAGATATATATTATGAATATATTAAAAATTTATTACTTTATTAATTGAATTGAGTGATTATTGTGATAATAAATAGGTAAAGCTAACAAAAAAAGCAAAATTTGATTTTGACAAGTAAATACATATTAAGATAAGGTTATGTATTATAATAGGGTATCTAAAATAGAGCTTCAATCATCCAAAAAAAATAAGGAAGGTCACACTGAATATCTTATAAACGCATTTTATTAGGATCTTTTGAATCCCATTTAGTTTAAATCAAGATATAGCACGTTACTTGAGCTTCATAAAGCTCTCATTCCACTAAATAAAAAAGATAGTCTTCCATAATTCCCAGGCAAAAATTTATTTGGAACAAAATCATAGGATTTAATATTGAAGAGGCTTAGTGACATCAATGAGTATTTTGATAACCTGCTAAGACTCCCTCAATTAGGTGGTTATAGCATTATAATTTATTTTATTAATAATAAGAGTGTGGTAAAAAAGGAATTATGCTGGCGATTATAAGTAAGGAATAGAATTGAACTATTTAAGTATTATTTTAAGGAGAAAAAACCAATATCGAATACATTAAATTAGAAAGTGTACAAGCTCATTAAAAATAACCAGCCTTTTGTACTAAAAAAATATGGTTTAGATGATGAAATAAATAAGAAGGACCCTTCTAGTTTATAAAGCTGGAGAGTAACTGTTGATTAATTTAGTAATAGAGTAAGTAAAATCAAAAGTGATAAATATTTATCAATGATTGAATAACTGTTTATAAATAGTGATCCATATCGAAAATGCAATTGTAAATCAAAAGAATTCTACACTAAACTGTGGATCGTTAGTCCTTACTATGAGAGCACTCTAGAATCTGAGATAGATCTCAGATATAAGAACAAAAAAAGCTTTTCTAGTAATGAAATAATGGATATATTTAGAAATATAATGAAAGGATTAGAGGAGTTGTACATAAATTAATTATATCATAGAAACTTAAAACCATCAAATGTCGGTATACTTAAATAGAATTAGAAATTTGTATATCAGTTGATGGATTACCACGATTTGCTTTTACGTAAAAAAGAAAAATCAATGGCTTAAGGAAATGCGAACTCAAATAGGTACTCTATTAATCTTGCATATAAGTCGCCTAAAAGAATCTCACAAATAAGACTCACAGACAATTCAAAAAATAGTGATGAAGATTATAAAAATTTTGATATGTATGCACTTGGAATAATCTTGCTATAGCTCTGTTTGGTTCTACCTACATCAGAATTGCAGGGCTTTTAAGAAATATCCCAATTAAGAGATGATATGATTAACAATTAGTTGTAGCAAATAAAATAAAAATACGACGAATCGCTTTATTAATACATATGTGTCCTATTAAATAAATCTACTCTCAGTGTATTTTCGAACTAGGATAAATATTAATTGTAAAAACTGTCTATTTTTGATATTGTTTATAGTAAGCTCTTTAACAATCATCAGAGTGATATAAATTAAAACGCAACTTAAAATTCTCCTCAAGTTTCTCCTCCTAAAAATAACGAAAATAATATATCATCGACAAAGGCTCTTTCAGAGTAAAGTACTACTTGTGGTAGTAGTTCTCAAGACATAGAAAATTAGTAGAAATAAGCTGATTAAGAAATTTAGTAAGAAAAATAAGGAATATTAGAATATGCTGATGAGTGCTTTATCTTAAAGTTTCAATAAAACACAGAAAATTTAATTTAGTAAAAGAAAACACAACATATCTTGAGAATTCTTTTATCAGAGTATTTAATTTTTTTTAGAAATTTATTTTGATCATAATAGTAAAATATTGAAATTTTGATTAATTAATTAATATATTTACTTATTATTTTCACTGAAGAAAATTCATCACTATTTTCTTATCAAAATAAATCATCAAAACAACCCTCAAATTTCTAATTTCTTTTCTTATATTTTAACATATCTAAGTTAATTTATTTTAATCAAAAAGATGCAATTTAAACAACGAATAAATAAAGGAGCAATTGTAATGTATAAAAGAACCATCCAATTTTAAAGGGTATGCTTCAATTTGTTTAGCGAAAAACTAAATAACTAACAGCTTGGGAATAATCTTAAAAGATTTTTTATTATCTCTTGAGAATATAGACTCAATTTCCATTGACCTAAAGGAATCTTAAAATATATCCGCACATTTAATTCTAAATATTTTGGAATCAATAGAGGAAAGAAAATAGATCACCGTATTACTAATTGACATTTCAAAGTAAATTTTTTATTTCTGTAAACCAAACCAATAAAAGCTAGCTAGTCATAAATTTACAAAAAAATTTAGCTTAACTTATTATAATTTCCAAATTAGTAAATAAATATTTTGTGGCTAATTATTTAAGTAAAAATTTTAAGTAAGTAATATATTATTTTTATTTATAAACTAGATGTCCATAAATAACCTCTGAATGTATAAACTCTATTATTATCAAAGCTTCATAAATTTCTCACCTACTTCTATTCAGCCTTTACTTTTTCAAGTAATTAAATAATATTTTAAAAAAAGTTATATTTATCTTTATTTAAATTTAGTTCAAATCTTAACGAAGAAACTCTGTTATAACTAGAAATGCAATCCTAATAATTTAAATCTTAACCATTAATTAAATTCATGTACACATTTTGAGCTCTAAAAGCTATAATATAATTAATTAAAAATTCTAACAAATTTATTAATATAAAATCTAATTCTAAATACATAATCTACCAAAAAAAGTAAAAAAGATATTCTATTTTAAAAACTTACTTTATTTAGTATTGTATGAAAATTATCTGCATCTATGTAACATAATTATCAAATTTTATAAAAAAATAGCCTTATTCATTTTATTTTTCAATTTATATTTATTAAAAAAATTTCCTATTTTAAATTAGATTTTTTATTTAATTAATTAAATTATTTCCCTTTTAATTAAATAAGTTTCTTAAAGGAAATGAACCAATTTTAACTTATCAACTTATAAATATAACTATTTGTATTAATATAAGGGAATATTTATAGCATATTCTATTTCAATATTGAATAAGATTCATTCTAGTTTCAATAGAATAATACTAAAACATTAATAATTCTTTAGGAATAAAATCTCATAAATTAAATTTATAATTAGTTTTTTTTTTAATATTCTGAAAATTTTAATTATTCAATTTTCCCCTTTTTCAAATCTCTTAGTATATTGAAAAATTTATAAAAAGGGGTTGTCTATTATCGTAACAGATAGCAATTTAATTGAGTTTATAATATAAGATTTGTGAAATGCTATCCAAGTAAACTACTTGGAAGGCTAAAAATTGGCTTGTAAGGCTTAGAATTTGAACCTATATGTCAAAATTGGTGATGAAAGTGCATCGGGATTGGGTTCTAGTTTAGCAAAATATGTTAATCTCTCAAATTTGACACTTAATCTTGAGTAAAAGCTGTTTATTTGTTTGGGATAGGGATATTTTTAATATAAAAATTAAATTAAAACAATATAATTCTTTTAATTTATTTAGCTTTTATTTTTCTTTTTATTTTATTTTGCTTATGTTTTATTAATATTTATTTTTAAATTTACCTCATTTTTTCATTTTCAACTTTTTCTTTTATCACTTATTTATTTATTTGTTATTATTTCATATTTTTATCATTTTTTCCTTCTAACTAACAAATTAACTATATATTTTTTGTTCAATATTTTAAAATTCGCAATGAAATTGGTGCAAATGGTGGATAAGGCTTTGGTTCTGGTTTAGGAAAATGCACTAATCTCTCAAATTTGACATTTTTTATTGGGTAAAAGAGTTTATTTGTTTTGGATTGTGATATTTTAAAATATAAAAATGAATTTAAAACAATATAACTAGCTCTTTTAATTAATTAATTTATTTATAGTTTATATTAGATTTAATTTTCTTTTTTTATTCTGCTTGTGTTTTTTTATCATTAATTATTAACTTAACTCAACTTTCATTTTCAATTTTTGTTTTATTAACAATTAATTAATTCATATTTTTTCTTCATTTTTTTCATTAAACTAAATTATTTAGTAAATATTAATTTTTCAAGTAATTTAATTGGTGCAAATAGTTCATCAAGTCTAGGTTTTAGTTTAGGAAAGTGCACTAATCTCTAAAATTTGACACTTTTTGTTGGGTAAAAGGATTTTATTTATTTATTTTTCTGTTATTTATAAAAATAAATTTCTTTAAATCTTTTAGTTTATTTATTAGTATTTTGCTTGATTTAGTTTTTTTTTTGTTTTTTTGTTAATTTAACTTATTTTTTACAAATCTATTTTTACTTTTTGACTATTAATTAATTCATTTCTTATTATTTCATATTTTTCTTCTTTATTTATTTATTTCTTACTTTCTTTCTTTCTTTCCTTCCTTCTAACTAATTAATTAGCTCTTTGTTTATTCTTTAATATTTAATAAAGTAGAACAAAATTGGTGATAAAGGTGTATAAGGTTTAGTTTTTGGTTTAGGAAAGTGCTTTAATCTATCAAATTTGATACTTTTTCTTAGGTAAATTATTGTATTTTTTTCTTCATTTTATCCTACTAACTAACTAAACTAATTAACTCTATATTTTTTCTTCAATATTTAAAAGTCAAAATTAAATTAGTGCATTTGATGCATCAAGCTAATGTACTGGTTAAGTAAAATGCACTAATCTCTCAAATTTCACACTTTATCTTTCGTAAAAACAATTATTTTATATTTTTTATTAATTTTTTCTTCTAACTAACTAACTAACTAACTAACTATATTTTTTTTTTTCAATATCAAAAAGTAAAAATTTAATTGGTGATGAAAGATTGTAAGCCTTAGGTTCTGAATTAGTAAAATGCACTAATATCTCAAATTTAAGACTTTATCTTTCATAAAAACAATTTATTTGTTTTTGATTGTGATATTTTTAAATATAAAAAGAGTTTAAAATAAAATAATTAAAATTTTGCTTTTATTATTGTTTTATTAATTAATTTCTTATTATTTAATATTTTTTCTTTATTTTTTCCTTCTTACTAACAAATTAAATATATCCTTTATCTTTAATATTTAAAAAGTGGCAATAAAATTGGTTCAATTGGTGCATCAAGGCTTAGGTTTTAATTTAGTATTGTGCACTAATCTCTTAAATTTAACACTTCACCTTAAGTAAAAAAGCTTTGGATTATTTTATAATATACAACTTAATTTAAAAGAATATTATGAACTCTTTTAATTTATTTATTTATTAGCTTTTTATTTAATTTATTTATCATTTTTTTATTCTGCTAATTTTTTATTTTAAAAATAATTTTTAAATTTAAAATTTTATTTTATTTGATTTTTTTTAGTAATTTATAATAATTTATAATAAAAATGCAAACAAAATCAATAAACTTTTATAACTGAAAGTAAAAAGCAAGTTTCTAAAATCAAAAAGATTAGTTAAATTGAATATATATTTTGGATTATGATAAACAATTGGTTTAAAAATTAATATTTGAATAATTTTATATGTTTATTTATTATTTGTATATTTATCATATTTTTGCATGTTAATAAATAGATTATTAAATAATAGAAAATTAATTTATAAGCAATGCTTAAATAGAATTATAATATTAAAATATTTTAAGTAATTATATTTACTTAAGGATATCAGAAAGTTCATAGTATTTTCTTATTTAATAAAGATAAACAATCAAAAAAATAAAATTTTTTATTATTGCTTATTAATAAATAAAAAGAAAACTTCTTTTGAAGAAATTTCTTTGAAAATGTAAGATTTTATATTAATGATAAAATATTTCTTAATTTTTAATTTTAGATAATAATAAAATAAAAAAAAGGAGTTTTAATAGATAATTTATTAGATTATTAGAGAGCTTACCCACATCAGTTTTTTCCTACCTAATTAATCCAAAAATTGGGAAAAGAAATTTTAAAAAAATTTTGAAAAATTTTTCTCTAATTTTATTATTTAATTTTACCACCAAAATTTTTGCACTGATTATAATTCATTTTATGAAAAAAATATTAAAATAATTTTTTTAATTTAGATTATTAAATAATTAATTTAAAAAAAAATTCAAATTAAATAATGATTTATAAAAGCTTTTTTATTTACAATTTTATTAATTTGTAATAAGAAAAAATAAATAATTAGAAAAAGTTAAGACATATAAATATCCACAAGTATATTAGATTAAATAAGTATGGAAATAATAAATTTATTCAATTAAATGTAATTCTTTAAATGCCTTTTCCTTAATCTCTAAAGAAATATGTTAAGCTATTTTATTTATGTAAAAATTATTCAAAAGATTGATATTACCCTAAAAATATTTATCTAAACAATCAAATTTGAATAATGATTTTTAAAGGTGGATTAATTAATTAATTTTCATTGATATTCAATATATATTTACTTTTAATTTGAGTTATTTCCTAATTTATTTTAAATACTTTTTATGCTTTTCTTCTTTGTTTATAGTTATTATTAATTAGGACTTTTAATTGTATTTTTAAATATGAATTCACTCTTAACAATTCTAATTTCTAAAATATTCAATTATTTTTAACATTTTAGTTTAAAATGTGTAAAACATTTTTATATTTTTTGTATTTGTTTATAGTAAAAATTCATAAATTTATTTCTAACATTTTTGTTTTATCTATATGTTTTGGTAAAATTAAGAACCAAAAATCTACTCATAA